AAAGGCTTTTCTGTCTAAATGCATCTGTGTCTCAAGTGTCTGTGTGCAAAAACTTTCTGCGCCCAATGGTTTTTGTGTGCAAGAGATTTCTCTCTGACAGTAAGAGCTTTCTGGCGTGCAGAACAGCTAAGATGAGTTGAGACCAAATTCGAGGAGATGAGAAAGGTTGATCAGTGCTCGGATGAGATGAAGACAGTTGAGAAGAACTTACTTTGATGACATGTGAGAAGAGATGAGATGAGATGAGAAGAGCTGAGATGAGGTGAGGTGAGAAGAGCTCACGTGATTTGGGGTGAGATGAAGTGTCGAGCGCGAAGTGCAAGTGTGAAGTGCGAGGTGCAGGGTGTGAAGAGTGCAGTGTGAAGTGTGAGGAAAGTCTTCGCTTGGCGTTGCATTGCACCGGGGTCGCGCGCAGGTCATGTTCTTGGACAACAACACTGCAACAGCTTCGCGCAAAGCACGCACGCACGGACCTGGCTGGCGCACGGCGCATGCAAGTTCTATAGATGAGAAAGGTCTTATAGTAAATCCCTAAGGCAACTTCCGCCCCGCCTCGTGCGGTTAGTGGTAGTGGTAGTGGCAGTGGTGGAAGGAGGAGGAGGAGGAGGAGGAGTACTAGTTGTTGTTGTTGTTGTTGTTGTTGTGGTTGTTGTTGTTGTGGTTGTTGTTGTAGTTGTTGTAGTTGTTGTCATTGTTGTCGTTGTTGCGTAATGCGGCACGATTGAACGTCCAAAAGCGGTCGGAACGCAGTGTGCTTTGCACATTTTGACTTCGAAATGTGCTTCGCGCCACACCTTCGTGCACTTTTTCGACATCTCAACTTCCAAACGTGCTCCTGGCATGGTGTGCTTTGTACATTTTGACTTCGAAATGTGCTTCGCACCACAACGGCACGTGCACTTTTTTCGACATCTCAACTTCAAAAAGTGCTCCGAGCATGGTGTTCTTTGTGCATTTTCACTTGGAAATGTGCTTCGCACTGCAACGGCGTGTGCACTTTTTCGACATCTCAACTTCCAAAAGTGCTCCGAGCATGGTTTTGTGCATTTTGACTTGGAAATATGCTTCGCGCCACAACTTCGTGCACTTCTTTTGACATCTCAACTCCCAACAGTGCTCCGAGCATGGTGTGCTTTGTGCATTTTGACTTGGAAACGTGCTTCGCGCCACAACGGCGTGCACTTTTTCGACATCTCAACTTCTAAAAGTCTTCCGAGCATGGCGTGTTTTGTACATTTTGAACTGGAAACGTGCTTCTCGCCACAGCTTCGTGCACTTTTTCGACATCTCAACTTCCAAACGTGCTCTGAGCATGGTGCCTTTTGTACATTTTGACACAACCTATTTCCCACGGTTTTCCCTCCGTCCACCCTGCCGTCGCTTCCATCTCGCTCCTTCCCAACGCAGCTCTCCCCAAGCTTCCATCTCGCTCCTTCCCAACGGAGCTCTCCCCAAGCTATTTCCCACGGTTTCCCCTCCGTCCACCATATCGTTGCTTCCATCCCCCTCCTTCCCAACGGAGCTCTCCCCATGCTATTTCCCACGGTTTCCCCTCCGTCCACCATATCGGCGCTTCCACCTCGCTCCTTCCCAACGGAATTCTCCCCAAGCTTCCATCTCGCTCCTTCCCAACGGAGCTCTCCCCAAGCTATTTCCCACGGTTTCCCCTCCGTCCACCATATCGTTGCTTCCATCCCCCTCCTTCCCAACGGAGCTCTCCCCATGCTATTTCCCACGGTTTCCCCTCCGTCCACCATATCGGCGCTTCCACCTCGCTCCTTCCCAACGGAATTCTCCCTAAGCTATTTCCCTCGGTTTCCCCTCCCTCCACCCTATCATCCTAACCAAGCTCTCCCCAAGCTATTTCCCACGGTTCCCTTTCCGTCTTGGAAATTTGCTTTGCGCCACAACTTCGTGCACTTCTTTTGACATCTCAACTTCCAAGAGTGCTCCGAGCATGGTGTGCTTTGTGCATTTTGACTTGGAAATGTGCTTCGCGCCACAACGGCGTGATCTTTATCGACATCTCAGCTTCTAAAAGTGCTCCGGGCATGGTGTGCTTTGTGCATTTTGACTTGGAAACGCGCTTCTTGCCACAACTCGGTGCACTTTTTCGACATCTCAACTTCCAAAGTGTTTCGAGCATGTTGTGTTTTGTGCATGTTGACTTTGAAACGTGCTTCCCACCACAACTTTGTGCACTTTTTCGACATCTCAACTTCCAAACGTGCTCTGAGCATGGTGCCTTTTGTACATTTTGACACAACCTATTTCCCACGGTTTTCCCTCCGTCCACCCTGCCGTCGCTTCCATCTCGCTCCTTCCCAACGGAGCTCTCCCCAAGCTATTTCCCTCCCTCCACCCTATCATCGCTTCCATCTCGCTCCTTCCTAACGCAGCTCTCCCCAAGCTTCCATCTCGCTCCTTCCCAACGGAGCTCTCCCCAAGCTATTTCCCACGGTTTCCCCTCCGTCCACCCTATCGTCGCTTGCATCTCCCTCCTTCCCAACGGAGCTCTCCCCATGCTATTTCCCTCGGCTTCCCCTCCCTCCACCCTATCATCGCTTCCATCTCGCTCCAAACGGAGCTCTCCCCAAGCTATTTCCCACGGTTTCCTTTCCGTCTTGGAAATGTGCTTCGCACATCTTCACGCCACAACTTCGTGCACTTTTTCGACATCTCAACTTCCAAAAGTGCTCCGAGCATGGTGTGCTTTGTACATTTTGACTTGGAAATGTGCTTCGCGCCGCAACGGCGTGCACTTTTTCGACATCTCAACTTCAAAAAGTGCTCCGAGCATGGTGTGCTTTGTGCATTTTGACTTCGAACTGTGCTTCGCACCACAACGGTGTGCACTTTTTCGACATCTTAACTTGCTCCGAGCATGGTGTGCTTTGAACATTTTGACTTGGAAATGTACTTCGCACCACAACTTCGCGCACTTTTTCAACATCTCAACTTCCAAAAGTGCTCCGAGCATGGTGTGTTTGGTGCATTTTGTGACTTGGAAATGCGCTTCGCGCCACAACGGCGTGCACTTTCGAGATCTCAACGTCCAAAAGTGCCCCGAACATGAGGTGCCTTGTACATTTTGGCTTGGAAGTGTGCTTCGCGCCACAACGGCGTGCACTTTCTCGACATGGTAACTTCCAAAAGTGCTCCAGGCATGCTGTGTCTTGTCCATTTTGACTTCGAAATGTGCCTTCGCGCGGGGCCACAACTTCTGCCCTTTTGTTTTTTCCATCTCGCCCCCCCCCGCCCCTTTTTCCCCCCCCCCCCCCTCTCATCTGGCCAGAATGGCTCCCCGCGCCCCCTGCTTTAAGCGAGCCTATTTTCGACCCTCCCCGGATCCACCACCCATCGATAAAAAACACGTGAGTCGTGATTTTCTGTCTGCGTCTGCCTTTTGCGCACAACACTGGCTCTTTCTCTCTTCTCTGATATTCTCTTCTCTTCTCTGACCTTTCTTCTTCTTTCCAACCTCTCTGCTTTTTCCATCTGTCCATTTGTCGGAAGGTTTTGGACTTCTAAACTTCCTTCGATCATTTTTCCAGAATGTCCAGCTCATATTCCGACTGTATGGGTCCTGCAACTTTAAATTGATTCATTCAGATCAAAAAGGCTCCCATCAATCCGTGACACCTATGTGACACCCGTGTTGTTTTCCTCACTTTCTTCCCTTCTCTCAGGCGTGATTCGGCGTGATTTGACATATTTGCAGAGAAGTCATGCGGCTTGTCAGGCACGACTGTAATCAGCCTAGATGTGACAGCTTCATACAGCTTCTAACTTGCCCCAGTCACCGATGGTCCTTGCAGCAAGCCGTGCGGCTTGGAACTGGAAGGTTTTTGATGAAGCTTAGCAATGAGAGCGTGGTTGTGGAGCTCAAGAATAGTACGGTCGTCCAGGCTCGGAGTGTGCAATGCGTTTGCCTGTCACAGGAATGCGAGGGCTAGGGCTCAAATGTGAAAAGAGAGAAAAAACGGAAAGGACAGGACATGCAACGACCGGAAAGAAAAGGAAGCAAGCGAGGATAGATAATATGTTTGCTGTTTGATGTATTTTGCATGATATCCACTGATTTGTTCATGCATCCCAAGGCTGGGAGGAAAAGAGAGAGAGGGAGAGAGGTGAGAGACAGGTGGACTTCTCATTTTCTGCTGAAAAGTTTGTTTGAAACATATGTTCAGAAAGTACGCATTGGCTGCCACCGTCTCGGATGGAATGCCCAGCAGGAAACCTTGGAAATCCATGCGCAGACTTGTTTTCACATCCTCACATGGCATAGTGTGCACAATACCCTGCGTGAGAAACACCGAAACCGGGCTTTGTGCTTGCACGCAAAACCTACTGGTTGGATCTGGTTGGGGCAAATGGAATACGCCAAAAGAGTGCCACAGGTGCCTGGAATAAGCAGTCTATTGTGACCATCTGTGACCAATACAGATTGATGTAAACTGCAAAGACTGGTGTAGCCTTTGTGGAGCCTATGTGTAGCCCACTGTGTATGAAATGATATCGAGATCACAACCAAATGTTTGCGTCGCAGCCTGGCTGAGGGCACGATCACAGGTCCAGGGCTGAGCGCTGAGAGTCTTGCGTCGTTCTGAGAGTTTAATGTTGCGTTTCTTCCGGGCTTCAGGGTGCCACACCACTCAAGTGCCACAGTGGCCAAAGATTGTACTGCAACTTCAAAAGTGACGTATCTATATAACTATATACGTTTCGACGTTTCTGTGCCCGACTTGCTGTGCTCGTGCCATTGTACTATCCTTCACATTGGCAACTTCACATGTTGTTTTGGCTACGTGCCTATGTCAACATGATGTTGTATAATAGAAACAAATGGTTGGGGACTTCCGGAAAGAGGAAAAAGATGGAAAACGAAGATACATCAAAATAATTGTCAAGCCTTGGACATTGTGTTGGTTTTTTGTTGTGCCTGCGCAGGGATGTTTTGAAATGAACTTGACTCATCATGACTCTTGAAAGGAGTGGACATGTCAATGAATGTCCACATGAAGAACATCAAGTTCACCGTCAAGGGCAAACCACCAGTGTCCATGGATCACCTGACCATCAGAGGCAACAACGTTCGGCCACTCATCCGACATAATATTTGCACGGCTGAATGGTGATCGTGATGTACAGATTCTCAGAAGCAAAACGGAAGATCTTAAAGGAACTTGAACTGGAACGTGATTTCCAACTCTTGCACTTGCATGTGTGCACATAGAAATTCAGGAGGTTGAAAGCGTTGAAGCTACCCAAAGCGTTAGCAAAAGCAAAAAGTTGACTTGACACTGATTTCATAGATGCTGGCGCGAAGTTTTGATTGTCTTTGGCAAGGTATGTTATTCTCCCGGACAGTATTCCTTTGGACACCTTGCTGGTTGATGATGCGAAGCGTTTGCCAAAGGCGCGAACCCTGCCCCATTCATTCTATAGATATAGATGGAAAATCTCCTTCTTAATATCCCTTGTAAACCACCGGAACCTGGGAACCGCTTTTTGGGGTGCTTTTAAAAGGTACCCGCTGTTTTAGGGGGTCAAGAATTAACACATCCGAAGTCTCTAGGATGAAGGTGTTTGAATTTTTTTTTATGATTTTGATAAGTTTCAGATATGATTTGTTGTTATGATTTGTTTATGGCTTGGTTTTGCTGTTATGATTTTGATATGGGAACAGTTATGATTCTTGATGTGGGTCAAACTTGTGATTTGAAGCCAACCCATCGGAACCATATCCAAAATATTCCAAAATCGTATCAAAACAATATCAAAACCGTATCAAAATCGTATCAA